TGGGCTAGTGACAGCTGGTGAAGGTGCTTGCCGCTCAGCCTGGTGACCCGAGTTCAGTTCCTGGAAGTCATATGGTAGAGGGAGAGGACTGACCCCTGCAAGTTGTCTTCTGACGTCCACACATGTGCTGTGGCTTGTGTGTACACACACACACACACACACACACACACACACATATCCTCCCGAGTGGTTTTATGTTTTCTGGTTTTTTGGTTTGGTTTTGTTATTTTTTTTCTTTTTTTGAGACAGGGTCTTCCTATAGCCCCCAGCTGTCCTGGAACTTACTGTGTAGACCAGGCTGGCCTCAGTCTCACAGAGATCTGCCTGCCTCTGCCTCCCGAGTGCTGGGACTGAAGGTGTGTCCACCATGCCCAGCGTTATGCAGTTTTTAGGTCTCTTTCAAGTCCAGGTGCGTGACACTGTTTCATTGTCTGAACATGATTTGACTCCTGTAAAAGCTTGTGTGATCCCAGAATTGCATTACCTGATGTCTACAATGGCTTACAGGAACTGGCCGCTGACTGCAGTGGTCCCATGGGAATGCTTTGCATTGCCAAGGTTTGCCCCGAGCCTTTGCTCTGAAGGTGGAGCCCGGTTTGTCCCGTTCGGTGTGTAAGTGCAGCAAAGCCAAAGGGAGGCGTCACCGGCCGAGAGAGCATCACCCTGTCAGCCTGAGCTCCTTGACCTGTCCCTTATCTCACAGCCAAAGCTATAGTGTTTGCTGAGCATTTTAATGTGGGGAGAAACCTGTGAGAGGCTTAGTCCTCCACCGGTGGCCATGGAGCCAGGAGGGGTAGAGAAAGCCACTGAAGCTCTGTGCGGCCTCCGCGGCTGAGTTTTGCCAAGAGTTGAAATTTCGTTTTGATTTGCGGAGTTCCCAGAGGTACTGTAGGAAGCCACAATGAGTGCTTCTGTGTTCAAACCTCCCTTCTCCCTGGTGGGTCTCCAGCAGAGGTCACCACACAGGAAGGGGAGCGACATTGGGGCCGGATGGGCCCTGCACCTCTGGGCCACTGTGGAAGGACCATAGTGCATCACAGTAACACGCATGTCTGTAGCAAGACACCTCTGGAATTCTTTCTGGGTCAGGGATTGTGGTTGGTCGGGTGTCGTGGTCGGTCAGGTACTGTGGTGGTTCTTGAAACCGTCACTTTGTTTTCACACTTGCAGCACCTCTGTGAGGTTGGTCTTACTACTACCTCCATTTCCCTGGTGTGTGGAGTTAACTTCCACATTTCAGGGCTAGCTTCAGCTCTGGGCTGACACCTGTTGCCTCATAGTCTGTGTGACTGTTTATCGTCTTTGTCTGTGGACTGTTTCACACACTTATTCCAAAGTTTTTAACTTGCTGTGTATGTTGAGAGAGGGTCTTGCTGTGTAGCCCAGTGTGGCTTCAAACTCAATGGTCTTCCTGTCTTGGCCTAAGTGCTCTGTGTTCAGCAGCTGTTATGGAATCACAGAGCCTTGTCCTCCTGTCCCCACTTTGGTGCAGAGGATTGAGCCCAGGGCCTTGACTCAGCATGTGTTCCACTACCGAGCCATGCCCTGCAGCCCTAACAGCCTCTCTGTTCGTTCCTTCTTTCTTTCTTTCTTTCTTTCTTTCTTTCTTTCTTTCTTTCTTTCTTTCTTTCTTTCTTTCTTTCTTTCCTTCTTTCTTATTTTTTTAAAAATAACTTATTTATTGTTTTTTTGTTTGTTTGTTTTTGTTCTTTTTGAGACAGGGTCTCCCTGTAGCCCCAGCTGGCTTGGAGCTCATTATGTAGACCAGGCTGGCCTTGAACTCACAGAGATCCACCTGCCTCTGCCTCCCAAGTGCTGGGACTAAAGACGTGTGCCACCACACCCAGCACCTGTTTCCTTAAAGTAAGGTGGAAATTAAATCTCAGCCTTATCCAATCTTTCTCACATTTCTGTTTATTGCAAGTGAATCAGTATATAGCCACTTGGTTTAAAATTTCTCATTACCTCTTGAACCTGTGCCAAGGTTCAAAAATTTTTTTAAAAGATAATTTTTAAAAGTTTATTATTATTTTAATGTATATGAGTGTATTGTCTACATATGTGTAAGTGCACCCATGTCATGCAGTGCCTACACGAAGTCAGAAGAGGGCGTTGGAGCCTCTGGAACTGGAGTTACTGACAGTTATTAGCCACCATGTGGGTGCTGGGAATCGAACCTGGGTCCTCCGCAAGACCAGCCAGTGCTCTTAACCATTGAGAATCTCTCCAGCCCTAGAAAAATAATTTTTAAGTGATTGATGACTGGAACGTGCACTTGCTGTTCCCAAGGTGACAAGTGTGAGTGTTTTTCAGGAAATTGAAAATGAGGTGGTGGGGATTTGTAGATGAGAGCGTATACGCTCTGTAGCATTCCAGTGGCATCTAGGCATTGATGAAGAGAAGGCACCCGTCCAAGGCTGAGAAACTGGGGTTTGGGGCTTGTGGGATGGTGCAGTAGGTAAAGGTGCCTGCTGCAGAGCCTGGCGGCCTGAGTTTGATCCCTGGAACCCACATGGTGGAAGGGGAAAGTTGTGCTCCAACTTCCATGCACACACACACACACACACACACACACACACACACAATCAATAAGTGGTCATTTTAAATGTTAATGATAATAATTTAGAAGAAGAAACAAACGGAGACTTAGGATGTGTGGAGAAGCACAGGAACATGTTCCCCAGGTGCAGTGGGCGTGACTTCTTGGGGCAGGCATTTTCTTTTTAGCTCTGCCTGCCAGATCCTGTGGCCTTGTCCCACTTCAGGGATGGGGAAACTGAGGCACAGATCAACTGACCATCAGTCACCTGTGGTGGGTCACACAGATGTTCAGCCCTGGAGCCCAGCTTTCTTCTCAAGCCTGGCGTTGGAGCCCTTAGAATGTGCCTCTAAATTTAGCACACCATTTCTTCGCAGGTGGCTACTCCGTTTGTAAACAAACCCAACATCAATAACCGTTTCTCTCCAAGTGAGCTTGCGCATGCTGGGGTTTGGAGGCATGGGATTGTTGACTTTTTAACGACCTGTTCGTTCAGCCTCAGAGAGAACCTCTTACCTGTTTGCTTAAGACAGATGAGCATGCTGGATGAATAGCGAAAGTTGTTTTGATATTACAGAATTTACTATCTGTGTACCTCTGGGAAGCCAAACCAACCTGAGACCAGTTAAAATTTAGTGCTTATTTACAAGCGTTTATTTCCTCTGGTTCGCCAGATTTGCTCACACGGAGAGGCATCATGGTTGGGTGTTAAGGGCCATTGGCAGTGGGGAAAGTAAGCAACATGAATCGGGGACCCCCCAGTCTCTGCCACTGGGGCCAGGTCTGTTGATGTGGAACTGAATGGTTGGCCGGGTTTAATGGCGCTGAGGCTGTTGATGAAGAATGCTCTGTTTATCCTGTCATTTGGAAAACAAAACAAAATGTAAACACAATTAATAAGCATCCCAGGCACCTGCAAAATGCCTTAGTTTCTTAGTGGCTGTTCTGAGTATATTTTCTCTTAGGGTGTTTACTGAGCGCCCGCCTGCTGCCCCTGCTGTTTCTGTACCACTGACACAGTCCTTTTGCTTTTGTTTGTAGTGTCTGCCCCAGTCTTTCCCAGGATCTGGTTCTTTTTGAAGAAACCCCATGTTGGAGTTACACATGGTTAGGTTCAGCTGGTCCGGCATCAACATGTTACACAGTAGTAGAAAGCGGAGAGGTTGTATGAAGAGGGAGCATGTCTGTGTGGCACTTTTAGGAGGTTAAACCATTGGGTTGGAGATTTCCCCCATTTCAAGATGAGAACATGGAATGGTTGGGCCGGCTGTCTGGTTTTTGACCTTTGCCCATGCGGCACGCTGCCTGGCTTGTGAACTTGTGCCTGTCACATACAGCTCAGCTTGGCAGAGAGGTCCACACTGCAGGACGTTTTTCTTGCCTTTCTTTTAAAAGACTGGGAGGACTCCCTATATTCATATTCATATTTTCTCTCTCTCTCTTGCTCTCTAATATTTACTTTAAATATTTTAAATGAGCCGGGCGTGGTGGCGCACACCTTTAATCCCAGCACTCAGGAGGCAGAGGCAGGCAGATCTCTGTGAGTTCAAAGCTAGCCTGGTCTACATAGTGAGTGCCAGGACAGCTGGGGCTACAGGGAGACCCTGTCTCAAAAAGACATTAAAAAAAAAAATTTAAATGTATGCATCTGTGTGACTGTGTGCAGTAGAGTTCTTGCCGGTTGGGAACCACCTGATGTGGGTGCTGGGAGCTGGATTCTGCCCTCTGAAGAACAGTCGAACATCCTCTCCCAGCCCTGTGCTGTCTTCCACTTGCTCCTCTCTGCTTCCCGGTCTGTGGTGATGTGAGCAGTCTCAGTCACATACCCCTGCCACTGTGACTGCTCCACCAGGCTAGATTGAAATCCTCTGAAGCAATCAGCAAAAAAAAAAAAGTTTCTGTAAGTAGTTGTCAGGTTTGGGGACCACAGTGACGTGAAAGCAGCTGACACAGCGGGGATTGGTGGCAGGACACAAATCCACAGACGCTTAGGTCCCGCATGTGAAGTAGCCTGGCATTGCACATCACCTTTGACTTCTTCCCTGCCCTCCAGGTCCGGACTTCATGTCACACCTAATATACCCCGTGGGCTCTCTGCATGGTTGCTACACTGTATTGTCTAAAGAATGACAATTCCATGCAGATGCAATACAATATTTCAGATATTTGGGTCCATAGTTGTCAGCTGGATCCAGACTTGAAACCAGAAGATGGTGAAGACCGTCTAGTGTGTGTGAGGTGTTCTGGTTCCTGGCCTCAGCAGACCAGAGAGGCTTGTACTTCTTACACTGACCTGTTTCTCAAACGTTGCTAATGCCCTGTGGTATGCCACTCCTCTGGAGTCTTGGGACAAGTGTGACATCTCTGCATTCCTCTGTCCCCAGGCCAAATGGCCCCAACTTGAGCAGCTCGCTCCGGTGCTGCTGTAGAGCCTCACGTTTGGCCCTGTTCTGTCTTTCAGATCTAACTTCAAACTTGTGGCCGTCAGTTCAAAGCTCTATGCCATTGGCGGGCAGGCCGTTTCTAATGTGGAGTGCTATAGTCCTGAGCAGGACACGTGGAATTTTGTGGCGCCCTTACCAAACCCTCTGGCTGAGTTTTCTGCATGTGAGTGTAAGGGGAAGATTTACGTCCTTGGAGGATACACCACCAGAGGTAAGCGAGGCAGGTCCGGGGACGGCATCTGTGAGGAAGGCGGCAGCTGCCTGGGCAGGGTGGGGCAGCGCAGGCCAGAGGAAGCACCGAGTGGTTTTACGCACCAAACACTGTATATTTAACATTCTGAAAGAAGTGGGTACGGGGATTTGAACCCGGGTCCTCTGCAAGAGCAGCCAGGGCTCTTAACCGCTGAGCCAGCTTCCAGCCCACCACCACCATTTCTAAGCTTTGCGATTCCCCCTAGATGGAATGGCAGGGAATGCGTGTAACTGATGTGACCCACACCCCACTTCCGCCTGGGCTTCTCCATGCAGGATCTGTTGGCACTGTGGTGGAGGAGTGCTCTGCTGGTACATTTCCTGGCCTTTCCGTGACCCTAGCTCAGCAAATGGACTGTCGATTTGACCTTGAAAACCCTTCTTGTGTTTTCTGAGCTTCACGGCCACCACTAGTGTGCCTTCTTCCTTTGGGCCACCCAGGGTGATGTCCTTCCTGGATTCCCCATGCCAGAGCCATGCCCGAGCGGTTAGTGGTGGGACAGTGTGTGTGTTCTCGGGAAGGCCGGGTGCTCCTGCCTGCCCTGGTAGGCCTGTCTCCTTCCTGGCTTTCCCAGCACTTGCTGGTAGCCCTGTGTTTCAAACAGGTCATCCTCATTGTTATGAAAACAACAAGAAATCAACAAAAACCAGAGTTTTAGTTTTCACATCCTGCTGACTTAAAATTCAGTAAATAATGGTTCCTGACGTTTATGATAGCTCTTGATTATTTCAGTTCTTTGCCAAGCAGTAGAGATACGAAGACGTCTGTAATCTCAGCACTGGAGAGGCTGAGGCAGGAGGATCGCTGCAAGTTTGAGGTTAGCCTGGGCTACATGGTCAGTTCCAAGCCAGTTGAGCACAGGCTAGGGAATGAGATCCTGTTTAAAAAAAACAAAGAGAAAGAAATTCAGTAGGAGATCGTAGCAGCCCTAAAGGTAGAAGAGTATACTTCAGCTGTAAAGACCAACAGATAAACCAGCAGCTCGGACTTTTTCAGAAGAGCCAGGAAGATCCAGGGCCCTGGGAGCCAGTGGCTCCCTTTGTTCGTGGAGTTTGGTGTCCTTGTTGGTACATGAGAAACAAACTCCCTTGCATCTCTGAGAGTGAGTTTTATCACATGGTCTGCAGAGGGGTCACTGCTTCCAGGGGGAGGGTCAGTCTGAGGCTTTTCAGCTCTGGGACCTGTGCACACTTGGGTCCCAGTCGCCCTCTATGCCCTGCCAGGAGGTGCTTTCTTGGACCATTTGGATCTGGAGC